AGCTGCCAGAGGCCAAATTTGGTAGTTCTTTATGATTGACTGCTTCTCAATTTTTTTATTTTATTTATTTATTTATTTATTTATTTATTTATTTATTTTTGACAGGCAGAGTGGACAGTGAGAGAGAGAGACAGAGAGAAAGGTCTTCCTTTTGCTGTTGGTTCACCCTCCAATGGCCGCCACAGCTGGCGTGCTGCGGCTGGCGCACCGCACTGATCCGAAGGCAGGAGCCAGGTACTTCTCCTGGTCTCCCATGGGGTGCAGGGCCCAAGCACTTGGGCCATCCTCCACTGCACTCCCGGGCCACAGCAGAGAGCTGGCCTGGAAGAGGGGCAACCGGGACAGAATCCGGCGTCCCAACCGGGACTAGAACCCCGTGTGCTGGCGCCGCAAGGCAGAGGATTAGCCTAGTGAGCTGTGGCGCCGGCCTGCTTCTCAATTTTGTATGTGCCTGTAGTTGATTTTCAGGGCCCTGAAATTGTAGTTTTTGTCAGTTTGGTCCAGTTTTATTTTTTTCTGTTTTGGAGAAATACTTGCTGAACTGCTCACTGTGCCCAGTCAGAAGTCCTCCCCACCCCCAAGATTTTTTCTTATATTTATCATTTCTTTGCTATTCACTCTTTCTTACAATACAAGTGTTCTGTCTCGGTTCATTTCCCATATGCCTAAAGTACTTCCTTAAGATTTATCTTTAATGAGCGTATGTTGGTATCATGTTCACAAGTCTTCTTGTCCAAAACTGTATTTATTTTACTGATTCATAGACTGTTCTCACTGAGTATAGCATTCTAGATTGTCAGTTATTTAATTTTTTTAAGGCATCAAAAGTAAAATTCCACTGCCTTTGCTATTGAAAAGTTAGTGATTGGTGTGGGATTTCCTTGAAGGGATTTCATTCAGGCAGCTTATCCCTTTGCCTCGGTGTGTTGTGTATAGTTTCACTTTTATGTGTCCTGGCTGACTTTTATTTTCGTGTTTCTTGATTTTGGTCTGTTGGGTATTTTTGAGTCAGTGAATTAATATTGGTGTTTTTTAAGATCAGTCCAGGATTTGCCACTATCTCTTCAAATAATGCCTTGCCCCTTTCCCTTATCTGTTTTCTCTCTCTGGACTGCTTGTTAAATAAGTGTGTTTCAGATCTTTCCATTCTGTCATGCATTTCATTCTGTCATGCATGTTTTTCTTCTCATTCCTCTCTGCTGCATTCTGTGTAGTTTGTTTTTCTAAGGAAGCTTCTTTCTCCACGTCTCATGACAGCCTTGCCCATTGATACTTATGGGTAGGATTTGGGTGAATTTAGTTTTGTTTCACCCGAGGTTTGTGTGGTTTAAAGTTTTTTGTGGTTCCAGCTCAATGTAGACTTCTTTCAGACAAGGGTGAGGTCTGGGTCTGGGCCTCATCTCTCTTAAGAGCCAAACCCAAACCCTAGGTTTGCATGGATCCACAGTGGTTTCATGACAAAAGCCCTCCAGGTCTCCACTTGTTCTGGGTGCTTTCCTTCTTGGCTTGCAAATGCTTTGGTGAGGATGGTGTTTTACTATTATTCAAAAAGGGTTTTCAGCCAACATTTTTAGTTGTCTGTTCTCTATGGGACAGTTGTCTAGCCTGCCTGTATCAGAAATGGATGGCTGCCTTTCCTTCAGTCCTCGGGCCAAGTAGTCTTTCCTGTTCACCACGTACATACTTATCAGTGCCAGTGCTCCATAGTCCTCCTTTTTTTATTTTTTCCCCCCTCTTACTGTTTTTTTGACAGGCAGAGTGGACAGTGAGAGAGAGAGAGAGAGAGACCGAGAGAAAGGTCTTCCTTTTTGCCGTTGGTTCACCCTCCAATGGCCGCTACAGCCGGTGCACTGCGGCCAGCGCATTGCGCTGATCCGAAGGCAGAAGCCAGGTGCTTCTCCTGGTCTCCCATGGGGTGCAGGGCCCAAGCACTTGGGCCATCCTCCACTGCACTCCCGGGCCACAGCAGAGAGCTGGCCTGGAAGAGGGGCAACCGGGACAGAATCCGGCGTCCCAACCGGGACTAGAACCCAGTGTGCTGGCGCCGCTAGGTGGAGGATTAGCCTGTTGAGCCACAGCGCTGACCTCCCCTTCAGTCTTAAGAACTTCTTTTTTCTTTTCTTTTTTTTAAGACTTATTTATTTATTTGAAAATCAGAGCTACACAGAGAGAGAAGAGGCAGAGAGAAAGAGGTCTTCCATCTACTGGTTCACTCCCCAAATGGCCATATAACAGCTGGCTCTGAGCCAATCTGAAGCCAGGAGCCAGGAGTCTCCTCTGGGTCTCCCACATGGGTGCAGGAGCCCAAGGACTTGAGCCATCTTCTACTGCTTTCCCAGGCCATAGCAGAGAGCTGGATAGGAAGTGGAGCAGCAGACACCCGAACCGGCGCCCATATGGGATGCTGGCACTGCAAGCGGTGGTTCTACCTGCCACGCCACAGCGCTGACCCCCTATTTTTCCTTTTTCATAATAAATGTTTTATTTATTTATTTTTTTTCAAAGGTTTATTTAGTTATTTGAAAGAGTTACAGAGAGAGGGAGGGAGGGAGAGAGAGAGATCTTCCATCTACTGGTTCACTCTCAAATGGCCACAACGGCCAAGAATGGGCCAGACTGAAGCCAGGAGCCAGGAGCTTCATCTGGATCTCCTGTGCGGGTGCAGGGGCTGAGCACTGGGGCCATCCTCTGCTGCCTTCCGAGACACATCATCAGGTAGTTGGGTCGGAAGTGAAGCAACCAGTGCTCAAACCAGTGCCTCTGTAGGATTCTGGCCCGGCAGGTGGTGGCTTAATCTGCTGTGCCACAGCCTGGCCCAGCAGGTGGTGGCCTAATCTGCTGTGCCCCAGCCCCAGCCCCAGCATTTTTTATACTGCAGCTAGTATAGTTATTCCTAGACCTTAATGTGTTCTTCATAATTAAGTGAAACTCTGCTCCTGTTTAGCAGGGCTGCTAAAACAGTTTGCGTCTGATAGAGATTAGAGGTCAAATAACAATGGGATTCTGTTGAATGTAGATTGAAACTCTTTCATGATGGGAATTTAGTTATTATACAATCCAGTCTAAGTTGAATACATAAATGAACTTCCTGTATTATCTTTGTGCTGTTTCTTGGTGGTATCTCAGGGTGTCCCTTCCCACTTTGGTTAGGGAAAAGAATGCCATAAGGATCAAGAGGAGTTATCTTATATGAAAACCCTTTAATTTACTGGCTTATATGATATGCAAATTTCTAGTTTAACAAGATTGACCTAACATTTAACATTGGGAAATGAAAATATTTGATGCATTTCTCATTGTTAAAATTTATTTGAAAGACCGAGATGGAGAGACAGATTTCCCATCTGCTGGTACATTCTCCAGATACCCACAACAGCCACAGTTGAGCCAGGCTGAAGCCAGGAGCTGGGAACTTAATTTGGGTTTCCCACATGGATAACAGGGACCCAACTAAAGCCATCGTCGGCTGCTTCCCAGAGTGTTTGTTAGCAGGAAGCTAGAATGAAGAGCAGTGCTGCTACTTGAACCCAGGCACTCCAAAATGGGAGCTTAACTGCTGCACCAGTCACCCATGCCTGTTCATATCTATTGAGGCTATTTAAAAAAAAAATTATTTTTGTTTATTTGAAAGGCACAGTTACACACACAAATACACACACACACACACACACACACATACAGAGGGAGATACAGAAAGATCTTCCATCTGCTAATTCACTCCCCAAATTGCTGGGACCATCAGGGCTGGACCAAGCAGAAGCCAGGAGCCAGAAACTCCAGTGTGTCTCCAGTGTGAGTGGCAGGAACCCAAGTACTTGGCCCATCTCCTCTGCTGCTTTCCCAAGAGCATTAGCAGAGAGCTGGATCAGAAATGGAGCAGCCAGGACTTGGACTGGTGCTCATATAGGATGTCAGAATCACAGGTGGCTGCTTAACCTGCTGCGCTACAAATCTGGCCCCCATTCTTTTTTTTTTTTTTTTTTAGTATTTATTTTTATTTATTTGAGAGGCAGAGAGAGAGAGAGAGAGAGGGAGGGAGAGAGAGAGAGAGAGGTCTTCCATCTGCTGGTTCACTCCCCAGATGGACACAATGCCAGGAACTGCGCTGATCCGAAGCCAGGAGCCAGGAGCTTCTGGGTCTCCCAGGCAGGTCATCCTCTACTGCTTTCCTGGGCCATAGCAGAGAGCTGAACTGAAGTGGAAAAGCTGGGACTTGAACTGGCGTACATATGGGATGCAGGCACTGCAGGTGGTGGCTTTACCTGCTACGCCACGGCACCAGCCTCAGCCTCCATTCTCAACCTCAAAACCTTTTAGTGGTCCCCACCTCCCTCCTTGTACAGAGTAAAGTGTTGTCTCCTTGGCAAAGCATGGAAGATCCTTCAATGTAGCCCTAGTTCATCCTCTAGCTGTGTGTTCTGTATTGTGTGCTTCAGCAATTGCTCTTGGTTCCCTGACCATACCATGCCATTTGACACCTCTGAACTTTTGTGTCTTGTTCCCTTTGACTGCAATTCCTTATTTTATCTGGTGAAATTGTATTTTAAAAGCCAAGTTTCACAGCCTTTGTCATGTTTTCTGTCTGTTCCTTCAGAGATTATTATTCCTTTCTGTGCTATGTAACTTTTTATATAATTTTGTGAAACAGTATAATTATTTAAGTAGAGATCTGAATCTAGCAATACATTGGAGGCTCTTTGAGGGAGCTGTTTATATTTTGGTTTTTAATAGTTATGTGTGAAGTGTTGAATGAATTCCCATATGAAGCTCTGCCAGTGAGAGATGGGAATACATGTGCCTTCTAATGACTATAATAAGTACGCAGAGCAAGTATCATTATCATCCCTTTGTGTTAATTAGAATGTCTTCTTGGTTCATTTAAGTTCGCAATTTAATATATTCATGAGGTCTTTTTTTTTCCTAAGTGATTTATCAACTAATTGAAATAATTGTAAACAAATTAGAGTCTTCCTAAAGCGCGTTTTTGCTTTCATCAACAGAATCCAACGTGGCGGAGTCTAGATTTTGGAATAATGCCAGACCGTCTCGACACATCTGTGTCTTGCTTTGTGGTGAAGATATGGGGTGGAAAAGAAGATGTCTACCAGCTGTTGATTGAGTGGAAAGTCTGCCTGGATGGGCTGAAATACTTGGGCCAGCAGGTAATTTTTAGACTCTGGGTTTTAGTGGTGGTCATCTCAGAATTAACCTGTCTGACCTTTCTGTTGATTCTTTGGCCTTTTCGTTTCCTAAAGAGAGACTTTATGATTATTTACTTACATTATTGTTTGCTTATGTGATGTTGCTTACTTATGTTATGTTTGAGTCATTGCACTTTTTAAAAAAATACCTTTAACTGAAGAAACTTACAAAGAAGCACCCTATACTAAAAAAAATTTAGGAAAAAATTTTTTTGAGTGTCGGAAAGGGTAGGTTTTTCACAGCATTCTGCTTCTTCTTTCTTATTGGATATTCTCCCCTAGGATCTGAAAATTACGTTGAAATATGGAATACACTATTAGACACTTCTCTTTCTCTTTTTAAAATATTTATTTATTTGAAAGGCAGGGCAACAGAAAGCGGGTAGGGGGGAGGGACATAGAGAGAGAGAGAACTTCCATCTGGTCGTTCACTCCCAAATGGTCCTCAATAGCCAGGACCCTCTTCTGGATCTCCCACATGGGTGCAGGGGCCCAAGGACTTGTGCCATCTTCTGTTGCTTTCCCAGGCCATAGCAGAGAGCTGGAATGGAAGTGGGGCAACCGGGACTCAAACCGGCATCCATATGTGATGCCAGCACTGCAGGTGGAGGCTTTACCCGCTGTGCCACAGTGCCGTTCCCGAGAGCCAGAATTTATTGAGCACAGGGATATGATAGATGCCTGACTGATACACAGCTCCCTGTCTGCACTTTTGCTGTATCTATGACTGATAGAGCTGATCCATCAAGAAGTGTTCTTGTAACTGAGCTCAAAAAGTAGCTCTGTAACCCTAACACAGTATTGCAGTATACAGCTAGCAGCTGCATATGAAATAAGAGCCGCCTGCCATCCCCAGACAGGTTGTTAGAATTAATGTTTATAGCAGCCTTGTGAAGGTTATTATTACTCTTTTTTCCCAGATGAGAAAGTTGAACCTTAGAGAGTTTAAGAAATTAATCAAGATCAGATAGTTAGGTAGAGCTAGAATTTAATTCTGGGCCCAGCTGATTGAAAACTTACTTTCTTTGTGTTGTATCACACTGGTATATACACATGTGGAGTATATACACCGCACTATGGAATGAATGCCTTTTGTATTTTGTGATGCCTGTTGTACTGCTATTAAAGGTAACCTTAAAATGTTAGTCACAGATTATTTATACACATCTGTGATGTTTTCTTAGTATTTATTCAGTATATACTTTCTAGTATGTTTCTTTTTAAAGAAATTATTTATTTGAAAAGCAGAGGTATGTATACTTTTTTTCATCTGATTTTGAATGTAACATATATTCTGAGCAGGTATTTTGGCACAGAAATGAAGACAGCATTTGGGATGCCTGCATACCGTATATTAGTGTGCCTGGATTCCAGTCCCAGGCCCACTTCTGATTCCAGCATCCTGCTACTGCACACTGTAGGCCACAGCAGTGCATGGCTCTAGTTAAGTCTCTGCCACCCACATGGGAGACCTAAGTTGCATTCCAGGCTCCTGGCTGTAGAGTGGCCAGTTCTGGCTTTTGCCAGCATTGAGGACCAGCAAATGGAAGATCTCTCTGTGTCTCTTTGCCTTTCAAATAAAAAAACAAAAATAACAATTTAAAGGAATTCTTCTAACCTTTTTTAGAAAAGTAGCACGTGTTCTTTGTAATCACTTTGGAAAATTTTGATCAGTACAGAGAAAAGACTAAAAACTACACAAATTCTTTCTTTATAGCTACAGATAAGCTGTTATTGATAAACACAGAAAACTGAATAAAAAATTACATGAAATCTTCCTGCCAGCTACATCCATTATTAACATTTGGTGAATATGATTTTAATCTTTCTTCTCCTAAGGACATATGTATATAATATTTTATGTTTATAAAATTTCAGATCCCATCCAATCTTAAAGCTGATTTCAGAATTCTTTCTCTTTTTTCTTAAGAGATGACAAACTTCTTGAGATTGATTTGTAGTTTTCATAATAAATTTCTGATTCCAACCTAATCTTTTGGTAGCAAAATGATGGAGATAAACAGAATGCATGTGATTGATTTTGTTTTCATAATAAGAGGTTGAAGATATGGAAGTCAGGTGAATGTTCCCAGGAATATTCTGTTGCTGGCTTTGGTAACTCATCTGTAGATACAGAGAGGAGAGAGCAGACATTGTGTCCTGATAATCCTTGTTTTTCCTCCACGTGAGCCCTCATTTTAATCCTTCACAGCAGAAGCAATTTTTTTATTAGCCACAACTCTTTCTAAAGTAACTACATCTATTTTTATATTTCACAATTGGGCATTTATTACTATTTTGAGTTATTTTAGATCTCAGTTCTTTGAATTTTTAAAGTTTTATTCCTCCAACCTTTAGCTGAAGTTTCATTTGGGGTGATCCTAACTGAGGCTCACATCAGTTGCATCTGAAAGAGAGAGGTATGTAGACAGTAATTAAAGAGACATTAAAGACTTTAGGGATTGGATACTATTATCTCTAAAGTTTTTGAAAATAGAAAATACTACCAAACCTTTATGTTTTTCCTAGTGCTTCATGTGTTTGAAAGCACTCTTGCAGACTTACTGGAGTGTGGTTTCTGGGGATCAGAGAATGTGTAGTATGCCTCTGAATTCCCTGACCTTCAGGAATGCTTGTTACAGTCTCAAGAAGTGTCCATGGGAAATATGTGTGAAAAATGGTGCCTCTGAGTTCACGGTGAGAATTTTGTTGGTATTTTCATTTTAAATGTTTATTTTACAATTTTGGATTAACATGTATTCCTTATATATTTTTACAGAGTACAGTGCAATATTTCAACCTATACACACAGTATTAACCAGTTATAACTGGCAGTTAGCATTTCTATTTCCTTGTCTTTGTGTTTGGAGCCTACCACCAGCTCCTTGGTTCCAGTTCTTTATAGAGAATACACACACACACACACACACACACACAGACACACCAGCGAATGGAAGTCCTCTTTCTCTGTCTCTGCCTCTCTCTGTAACTCTTTCAAAAAATTAAAATAAATCTTAAAAAAAAATAAAAAAGACTTTTTTTGTGTGTGTATAAAAAACATTGTCTTGACATATAGTTGCCCATTGTGCTGTAAAATACCAGAGTCCATTATGTTTACGTTGCTGTGTCTTGGTAGCCATGATCCACCCTCCCTGTATCTGCCTTTTCCTCACCCTTCCCAGCCTCTGATTAGCAGTATTTTAAAGTCAGATAGATTTTTAAAAATTCCACATGTGAAAGGGAATCTACAATATTTGTCTTTCTGTGCTTGATTGTTTCACTTATATAATAACCACCAGTTCTGTCCATTTTACTGCAGATGTCAGCATTCTCTTCATTTTTTATGGCATAATAGTATTCAATTGTGAAAATGTGTACCGCACTTCCTTTATCTATTCATTCATTGATAGATACCTAGGGTGAGTCCATATCTTGGCTGTTGTGAGTAGTCTTGGAACAAACATGGGAATGTGGGTCTCTCCTTCAGATGCTGATTTCATTTCCTTTGGCTGTGTACCCAGAAGAGGAATAACTGGGTCATATGGTATATCTATTTTTAATTTTTTGAGGAATCTCCATATTGGTTTCCATAAGGACTGTACTTATTTTGCATTCCCACCAACAGTGTATTAGGATTTCCTTTTCTCTACATGCTCATTAGCATTTGTTACTTTTTAATATCAGCCATTCTCACTGGAGTGAGAGGATGCCTCATTGTGATTTTGATTTGCATTGTCCCTGTGACTAGTGATCCTGAGCACTTTTTCATGTGTCAGTTGATCATTTTTATTTTTTCTTTTGAGAGCTAACTATTCAGAACCTTTGCTCAATTATTAACTGGGTTGGTTTTTGTTTTGTTGAGTTTTATTTATTTTTTATTGTTTTTTAAAGATTTATTTTATTTATTTGAAAGAGTTACAGAAAGAGAGGCAGAGACAGAGAGAGAGGTCTTTCATTCTCTGGTTCACTCTCCAATTGGCTACAACGGCTGGAGCTGTGCCGATCTGAAGATAAGAGCCAGGAGCTTCTTCCAGGTCTCCCACGTGGGTGCAGGGGCCCAGGGACTTGGGCCATCTTCTACTGCTTTCCCAGGCCACAGCAGAGAGCTGGATCAGAAGAGGAGTAGCCAGGACTAGAACCTGCACCTATATGGGATGCCGGCGCTTCAGGCCAGGGCTTTAACCTGCTGTGCCAGCCCCGAGTTTTTTGATTTCCTTATATATTCTGGATATTAATCCTATGTTAGAGAATAGTTTGAAACTATTTTCTTCTAAAGATTTTATTTATTTACTTGAAGGATAGAGTTAGAGAGAGGGAGGGACAGAGAGAAAGGTCTTTCATCCACTGGTTCATTCCCCACATGGCCACAATGGCTGGAGATGCGTCGATCCAAAGCTCAGAGCTTCTTCCAGGTCTCCCATGCAGGTTCAGGGGTCCAAGCACTTGGGCCGTCTTCCATTTCTTTCCCCAGGCCATAAGCAGAGAGCTGGATTGGAAGAAGAGGAGCCGGGACACAAACTGGCACCCATATGGGATGCCAGCACCACAGAGGCTTAACCTATTCCACCCAGCTCCAGCCCCTTGCAGTTCTTTTCTTCCATTGTGTTGGTTGTCTATTTACTCTTGATTGTTTTCTTTGCTGCACAGAAGCTTCTTAGTTTGATATAATCCCATTGATCTCTTTTTGCTTTTGTTGCCTGTGCTTTTGTGTATCCAAAATATTCATGGCCTATGCCAGCGTCTTAAAGTGTTTCCCCTGTGTTTTCTTCTAATGTTGACTTACATTTAGATCTTTGATCATTTTGACTTGATTTTTGTATAGGAGTAGAAGGGGGCACCACTGGTTCACTCTTTTGCATGTGAATATCCAGTTTTTTTCCAGCACCATTTTTTGAAGAGAATGTTCCTTCTCCAGGGTATGTTTTTAGCTTCTTTGTCAAAGACAATTTGATTTTCGATAC